AGGAACGATGGTGCGGCCTTGCAAGAGAAGGCAATCCTTTTGTTCGCTTGTTTTTGTTTTTCCATAGTTAAGTAGCTTTTAAAAAGAGTTGTATATACGTCATCACAATCATTTCTAATGTTCCCTCTCCCTTTCTGCACTCATTGTTTGCTCCCCAAATTCCCTCCCCCTCCCCACCCCTTCCCACATCCCCCATACACCGTTGCATCCATTATTGTCTCTGCCTCAGGCCCTTCTGTGCCTCACAAACTGGGAAACCCAATAGCAACAATAAAAAACAAAAGCAAACAAAGCAGCAAGAAGAAGATAATAGTATAGAGATGAAAATAAAGTGTAAGAAAGATAAGACCACCATCAATATTACAAAAAAAAAAAGCCAGAGGAGAAATTTCTGCCATGGAACAAATGAAAAATAGTTGCGTCCAGAGCAAATTCAGCTTGAGTCAAGAGGGAAGTCCACTGACCAAGTATCATATTATATCACAGTTTGATCCACTATAATCAAGTTTACAAAAAGCTCTGTCCGAGAGTACGCTTTTTGAGCCCCTCACCTGTGGTTCAAGGGGATCTGCCAGCGGCTCCACCTGACCAGATACTGTGCAGATGGATCTTTATGGAGGCCCCTGTCATCCATAGCCTTCTACAGACTGAGTGTCTACGACTTGAGCTCCGACGCTTTCCCTTCATCATAGCTGGGTTTTATTATCATCATAGAGAAGGCACCTTTTGAACTCTACACGCTCAAAGAAAGATTTTTCAAAAAAATCAATTACACTTAAGCATCTAATTCTCTGACCAGAGTATCAGCTACAATGTGCACATGTTACTATTTTGAGAAACTCAGAAAAATAATTTTGAGGGGATCTATTCAAAAATGTAATTACTAGCATAAATCTCCTCAGTAATTAGTCTTCAGTGTTCCTATCAAAAAATCATAATGAAACTTTATCCCTACTTATCTTAAATCAAGTTCCGAAGAATAATTTTTTGGTAGTGGAGAAAAAGCACTCTTAAAAAAAGATGGCAAAATATTTTCTTCAATGTTTCCTTATGATAACCAACAACCCTCTAGGGAATTGCGGATTAAATACGGTGGATTCTTAGAAAGGCTAAGGAAGCCTTTTGATTCAAGCTAGTACTTCCTGCGTTACAATGATATCATTCATGAAATGTCTATTAAACTAATTAATTCTTTCGTGGGAGGACATTGATAGTTCAGTGATGGAATTCTCTCTTGAAGTGGCGGACCCAGCTCCAATTCCCAGTCAAGGAACGTCATGTACAGCTACCACCTCTCTGTCGGTGGCGGTTTATCAGTGGCTGTGATACGAAAGAGGCTGCAGTTCTGTTCTGAGACATACTCGGAAAAAGAACTGTCAATCTACTTCTGGAAATCAGCCACTAACTCACCCAGGACAAAGACTGTGGACCATATCTGCTGCCCTAAAACTGGTCATAGGGAAATTTGGGGCCAGAGCAGCCATTCATTCCATCATACATGAGGCTGAGCAGGGTCCCAGGCCTTCTAGAACACACCTGATAGCACAGTTCCATGGGCTTCAGTCTAAGGTCTTCTCTCTCTCTCTTTTAATATAAATTAATTTATTGGGAACTCTTACAGATATAAAAATCCAAAGCTCACTTATATCAAGAACACTTGTACGTATGTTTCCATCATCATTTTCAAAACAGTATCTTTCTACTTGAGCATTTATTATCTGTTTCTCTTTTCCCTCCCTCTGTCCACCCTCCCACCCTTGAAAATGATATATTATTATTAGATCCTACACCGTCTGCTATATCCCTTAACCTATATTTCTGTTGTTTCTTCCCCTGGGCTGGGGCGGGTGTGAGTGTGTGGCTATACAGCCATCATTGCTTTTAGTTCCCCCTTTCTCACCCGCCCCCTCCCCCTGCCCTCACGGCGTTGCTATTCCTCTTACTGTTTATGAACCTGTTTATTTGTCCTGGCTTTCATGTGTCAAAAGCTCTTATTTATACCAAATGTACACACTCTGGTGCTGCACTGTACCATGGCTGGCTTGTCCTTTCCTTATGACCCTTCTGTGAGGGGATATCCAATTGTCTACAGATGAGCTTTGGGTCTCCACTCTGACCCTTCTCCTTCACATCGATATAATCATTTGTTTTTGATCTGATAACTTCATCTCAACAATACCTTGTGATCACACAGGCTGGTGTGATTTTTTTTCATGTGGGCTTTGTTGTTTCCTTTAAGACCCCATACACTATATCTTTAAAAAAAATTAATAATTTTATTGGGAGCTCTTATAGCTTTTCTAACTATCCATACATCAAGTGTATCAAGCACCTTTGTACATATGTTGCCGCCATCATCATTTCCAAAACATTTTCTTTCTACTTGAGCCCTTGATATCAACTCCTCTCTTTCTCCCTGCTCCCCCTACCCTCCCACCCTTGTGAACCCTTGATATTTTATAAATTATTTTTATTTTCATATTTTACACCATCCGTTGTCTGCCTTCACCCACATTTCTGTTGTTTGACCCCTGGGCAGGGGGGGTGTTGTACACTGATCATTGTAATCAGTTCCCCTTTTCTTCCCCTTTTCCCTTTACCTTCCCCCTACAGTCATGGTATCATTACTCTCATTATTTGTCCTGAGGGTTTATCTATCCTGGATTCCCTGTGTTTCCAGTCTTATCTGTACCAGTGTACATGCTCTGGTCTAGCTGGATTTGTAAGATTGAACTTGGGTCATGAGAGTCGGGGGAGAAAGCATTAAAGAACTAGAGGAATATTGTGTGTTTTGTGGGTGCTATACTGCACCCTGGCTGGCTTGTCCCTTCCTTATGACCCTTCTGTGAGGGGGTGTCCAATAGTTTACAGATAGGCTTTGGGTATCCATTCCGACCCCCCTTGTTCTCATGGAAATGTTGTTTGTTTGTGGTCTTCTGATGCCTGATCCCTGATGACACCTCATGATCACACAAGTTGGTGTGCTTCTTCCATGTGGGCTTTGTTGTATTCCTGCTAGATGGCCATTTGCTTAACTTCAAGCCAGTAAGACCCTCAGACACTATATCTTTTCATAGCCGGGTACCATCAGCTTTCTTCACCACATTTGCTTGTGTACCCGTTTTGTCTTCAGCGATCATGTCAGTAAGGTGAGTATCATGGAGTGCCCCGTTATTAGAACAAAGTGTTCTTGTGTTGAGGGAAGACTTAAGTAGAGTCTCAATGTCTGTGTGCTACCTTAATAATTTAACATAGATATATCTACATAGATCAATACCCCTATCATTATATATGTACCTACCTCTCTATGTGGTTCTTGTCTCCTAGTCCTTTCCTCTGTTTCCTCTTACTTTCCTTCCATAGTCTGAGGCTTTTCATCTCTTTCAAACAGTCGACATTCTGTGAAAACTCGTCCTTGAGGTTGGAAGGGTTAACCAAGCAGGGCAAGTGTTCCTTCGTTTGTAGGTTCTGTTTCTCAGCTTGTTATTTTCATGGGCCTCAACTACAGATTTTTTTTTAAGGTTGAGTAAGTCAAACTCATAATATTTATATGTAGATATATTTTTGCCTCAGCCAGAGTGAAAGTTTACTCAAACCCTGAGCAAGTTTATGGGAGCCATTTTGCAATGAATTCTTTAAGTAGACACTGTTCTGATCCGGAAACTCTCACAGGTGCATGCGGCCCAGCTCTACTGCTTTGGTTTTGTAGCCGCCCACCCTCATCTCGGCCCACTCTCAGCCACTGAGTGGATCAGTGGTCCAGACCAAACAGTGCCCTGATGAGGTACAGCCGGCCCATGACATTAATGGACGGTGTGCTTGTGAGTCCCAGACATCCACTGCCACCTAGCTGGGCATGCTTTCTGCATCCGGAGATGAAATCTAATAGCACCAAAAATATAGGCGCTGCAAGTGCATATAACAGTGTATGTCTTGGTGATAAATGCTAAACACTATCTTGGCTAAAATAATTCTAAATCATTTATTTAAGCATTGCCCAAATGCAAAGTGAAATATTGATGATTAAAGACTGTTAAAATGATCTATATACTTAATACAAAAAGGCTACTTGTGTGTGTATGTTGTCATTATGACTAAAATTGACTTTATGGCAAGGATTTGAGTTACTTACAATTCATAAATATATAAAAGGTTCGGTTTCATATGTTATATAATATGCATATATATTAAATACACATAACATACTATTAATAAAATGCATTTTCCTATTTACATATATATATACTTCAAGAAAAAGATATTTTTGTGTATATCTCAAATATATCAAAGATATGGATATTTATCTTGCTTTAACCAATTTCATCAGAAATCTGAGGGGAATTTAAAACATCTGTGGAAAAAAAGGAATGTAAAGGTTACTAGAAACTTGTGCAACATTTTGAGGCCCCTTGTACTTATAAATTGTGGACATTTAACTGTGCAAATAGTATACACTTTGGACAGCGTTTCCAGTTTGGGTTACAAAGGAAAAGCAAATGTCCTCTCAGTTCAATTCTGGCATTAACCACTGAGCTGCTGAATCTATTTGGCAGCAAATCTCCTGGCCTTTGGCACCTTCCTTGATCTGTCTTTAAAACAGCGCTCTTAGGAGTTATGGCTTAACCTGAAGGTTAATGAATCCAACGTACTTTGCAACTTCACATAATGGTGCTATGTAAGCATTGCAGTTTGTAGAAGACATATTTAAATTTTCTTTGTTCAAGGACACCATAGCTGTCGCCAGTCCTTTGAAGCCGTCATTAGTGTGGCTTATCAGCAGCAATAATGTGGTAGTGTGGTAATACACAATCAGGATAAAATGATCACACACAATTAACATTAACCTATTCAAAACCACAGTATGACAGCGTGTGGTTCCCCAAGGCCTTAGAATTGGTCTAGAAATAAAACGTGTTTGCTTGTTTCTTTAAAACATCACAAGAGGTTATCAACCTGACAGGTATAAAAGACTTGCAATTCAAAAAGAAATAGGCTCTTACCTAGAAGTAATGTTGAGCACAGGGCCACTTGAAGCATTTTATAGGCCATGACCTGTGGAAGGAGTTATTTATTTTAACTCAGCCTCAGCCGTCTTTGGGGGCCACAGCAGGCTCTTCTCAGGAGCGGAAGCACTGCTGTAGACCTGGGAGCACTCTGAGCCGAGGCCGTCAGAAAGGACCTTGCTTGACGATTTTTTTATATATATACAACCTCCTCTCTTTACCCTTTGGACTTTATCCACGCTGCCTTTAGATGGGTCATCTATTTATTTACCAATTTTGCCATCCACACAGACTAATGATACCTAGCAGGGCTGGGGGTGAGGGGAAAAGAAACAGGAAAAACTGGATCACTCAGACCGTGCTGGTGGAAATGTAGAGTGGCTCGGTTACTCTGGAAAATAGCTTTCCAGCTACTTATAAAACTAAACATGCAATTATCATGATCCAGTAAGTGCCCGGCCAGGCATTTATCTCAGAGCAATGCAACCTTACATTCACAGGAAAACGTGTAAGGAATACTCATAACAGCTGAATTAGTCATTGTGGTGCAGTGACATATCTTAATATGATTCTCTGTTACTCCTACCAATGACTGGGTGGGATTATGTAAACAGGGCATGCGGAACACGGAAAGAAAGGGTTGGTCAGTTATATTTTTTTGTTTCTTATTTATTTAAAATCGTTTTATTGGGGGCTTACAGCTCTTATCACAATTAATACATCCATCCACTGTGTAAAGCACATTTGTACATAAGTCTATTTTTGGTATTCCCTGAGAACTTCATTGTTTTGCTCCTCTTGCTGCTCTGTTGCACACCCTTAGTGTTTCGCCCTGGTGTGGGGGTCAGATTGGCACAATTCCCACACTGTGCCTCCAGTGATGTCCCCCATAGTGCTATGGTTCAGTGAGGGACATCGGCTCATGGTGGGGCTGGCCCTATGATCCTCTCTGTGCGTTGGCTGCTCTGAGCAGGAAGATCATCCTCAGGGCTTGATGTGCCATCCACTCACCTATTATTCCATCCACCATTCTTCCACCTTTGGCTTGTCTGGAGAAGGGGAGATGGAATTTTTTCCTATCCCTTCACCTTACTTCTCTAACAAAAATGGATGGGACAAATAATGCACATCTAAAACAGTAATGATTAACTTCCACTTAAGCTTTCATGAAGTGTCAGTTCTATTCCATGTGCTTTACAAATGCGGTCTCATTTAGCCCTCATAGCAATGATGTGAGGAAGTGATTATTATTATCATTTTACAGGCAGGGAATTTAGGCTCAGAGAGGTTTTGTTAGTTGTTCAAGGAGATTTTAGAAATCACATCATGTGAAACGTTGCGACCGAAGTAGAGGGTAGCTATGTGCATAGGGTGCACGAGTCAGTGAAATGAGACTTGTTAGATATGATCCTAATTGTGCTCAGAGGTGAATGTGGCCTGGGCAACTCGGTTTCACAGGGAATTACAGTATGTTTTTCTTCCCAACTTCCCAGCCTTTTTTGATCTTCCAATCAGATTTGGCCACTCTTTCCCACCTTTGATACCTCTATAGGGGAGGCCAGACACCTGGGCTGGCTTTGCAGCCAATTTACTTCATCATCCACAGCCACCACCCCGTACCAGTGAAAGACCGGAGGCTGTGTGTAGCTATGATGCCGGGACAGATTTCAGTGAAACTTCCACCTGGAAGAAAAGTTTGACAACCAGCTTTTAAAACTCAGCCATTGAAAGGCCTATAGAATATACTGGTCTGATCCACAACCAGTCACAGAGACAGCGCTGGACTATGAATATTCCCTTTTATTGTGCTTGGGTCACCATAAATGTGGGTCGTCATGAGTTGGGGCTCATTTGATGACAGCTAACAACAACAACACATCCTATAATCTAGGCACTTAAAACAATCCACCTATTTTGAATTCATACCATGTGCCTTGTCCCAAGTACTGGAGTTACAAAGATACACTAGATACTGTTTCCTGTGTGGGAGCGAGTAATTTCAGAAAAAGTTTCCCAGTGAGGTGATTAGAATTTCCATCGAAAGGCAAAGTCAAGGGGAAGAGAAAGAAAATTCCAGGGAAGGAAGCAGCACGTGTTAGTAGAAGGGATCAAATGGATTTGACACATTCGTTAGTTAGGCATCCGTTGGTGCCATCAGAATAACATTTTGGAAGAATGTACTGCTCTGTTTGTAAGTTTCTGAACTATTACTGTTGCTTGAAATTTCAACAATTTCTAGTGGCTGTCACTACAAAAATTTAGAATAATTTAATGATGTGTCACTACTAATATGAATGGACACAATCTAGCAGTTTAAGTGAAAATGCCAATCCATTTTATCACATTGATTCTTGTTTAAGCATCGGGGTAATGCATGCCTGCAATTTTCCTCATTACACATTGAATAATTGATAGTTGACAATATGTGATATTTATAGAGCATCAGCAACATGCTAGCAAGTTTATGAAAAACAACGCTATCAAGGAATCCTGCCCAATTGGCTCACTATCAAAATGTAGCCTGTCATTTTCTAAGTCTTCCATGCTCCACTAAACTAGAAGCAAAGAAAGCATTTCTGGGGATTCACTGGCGAAATGAAGGGGCCAGATTTTCTCTGCAGGTAGCTCTGTGGGCATTGATATTATTTCCACAGGGAAGCAATCTGTTCCTGTGGTTTTCGTAATCTCAGAAGATAAAGTTGATAATCCAGTGTAGATCTGAAGTACAGGCTCTTCTATCAGTTTATGCTGTAACCTGTAATTGAGTCCGCACCTGTATGACTTGTTCAGGATCAGAATGTAAGCACACATGCTTAGCTTGGTGCATGTAAAAACAATTGGATTCGCTAGTGAAATGCTTAGCTTTAAAGGCTAGTACTTAAAACTCTTAGTTACTTGAGGAAAAGATTTGAGATATTGAAGAGGGATAAATAGGACATATGAAAATGAAAATCTGGAAGTGGGTTGGGAAATAATGGGTGGTGCAAGAGTTAACTGAGAATTTTGCGTCCTGTGTTATAAGAAGCAAATGGATGGATAAGAATGGGTGAAATATGATTCATATTACTTGTTGGGTAGTAGAGAGAAAATAAATCAAATATATGACATGTTTCTTCTTCTTCAGGACCAATAATGAGAGTAGTAATACCAGGAGGGCAAGGGAACGGTGGGGGGAGAAAAGGGGAACCAATCACCAAGATCTACATATAACCTGCTCTCTGGGGGATGGACAACAGAAAAGTGGGTGAGGGAAGGTGGGGGAGGGAGGGTGGGAAGAGGAGGAGCTACTACCAAGGGCTCAAATGGAAAGCAAATGTTTTGAGAATGATGATGGTAACAAATGTACTAATGTACTTTACACAATGGATGTATGGATGGATTGTGATAAGAGTTGTATGAGCCCACAATAAAATGATTTTTTAAAAACACTATAGCCCTCCCTCCCCTGATAAATAAATAAATTTAAAAAAAAATGAAATAGGCATACTTATAAGGTTGGTTGGGAATATCAGAAAAGAGGAAACGTCTGTCTGCTTTTCTTTGTTGGGCCTGCCTGTGTCTTGGACAGAACAGAGGTTGAAGGAAGATAAGCTACTCTGACAATCTTCTGTCCCTCAGCTTCCTTCTCCAAATCAAGCTCACTGCTCTTGAGCTAATTCTGAGTCACAGCTACTCTGTAAGGCAGCAGTACTTCTCCTGTGGGTGTCCATAGCGGTAAATCTTGACAGGAGCAGCAAGCCCCATCTTTCTCTGCAAAGCCGCCTGTGAGTTCAAAAGGCTGATCTTGCAGTTGGAAGATCACCTTCCACCTCATTATGCCCCCAGGGCTCCTGCAGCTTCCTTTTGGATGTATTTGTATCTCTGGGTCAACATGTGGTCTATGTCTCATCTGCACTGAGGTTGACCAACAGGTTGATGAATTAATTTTATTTCCATGGAAGGATGATGTTTCAGGGAAAGTATACACGGGCAAGCGTGAATTAGGGAGCTTGGTAGAAACTGTACAAATATGGGCTCCCTTTTTAGTAAGCTACTCAAATAGAATTCACTAGATTAACACTTGTCATATAGCAGGCATTTAATTCATCATAATACTTACTTTTATTACTTATTCATTGTGATGGAATAAAGAGAATTCAAACTCAACATTAAAATACACGAAGTAAAACAATATTCTGAAAGTGTATAGCATTGATAATACTTTTGATAGTACCTACTTTAATCCTATTATTATTATAACTTCCTTTGTGTTATAATTGTGACCAATGGCAGGCAATGGGTAATTTGATATGGGAGGAATATGACAATCGCAAAAGAAAAACAAACAAACAGATTATAGGAAAATGCTACTGAGATATATTAGTCCATTTCAAGATGGTGTTATGGTATGGCTTGTGGACAAATCAATAGAGCCATGGGCCAGAAAGACCTCCAGAGTGAAAATTTTCCATTGGGAAATATGTGGGACAATTGGTTTCCATGTAAGAGTTTGCAATTTGAGGGCAATAAGAACTGTAAGAGGCTGTTCCCTTTACTGCAGCAGAAAAAATGTGCTGACCTCTCCCTTCGCATTATTGATGAGTCACTGCACATCTGTGAGTGCTGAGCTCAAAGGTCAGGGTACGAGTTTTCCTTACATGTGTGAGGTTTTTCTCCACCTTTGAACTTTAAAAAATCTTTTTATTACAAAGTGTCCGAAAGTTCAATGTGCCTTGTTTCATCACTTTTGCCTTCTAATAATGCACCCAATTTGACTATTTGCAAAGTTTTTCAACAGGATTTTTCTGAAAGAAAATGAAATGAGTCTAAGAGAGATCTGGAAAACTTTATTTTCCAAAGGAGAAATTCCAGAAAATACAATTAGAGTAGACTCCGTCTTATCTTTTTTCAGGCTGAGTTTGGTATCTAATCCTTATCAACATATTGCATTGACATAGAGCCTACATCAGAAATTGGAGATTAAATGTGCTTAACACAATGGATGGATGGATTGTGATAAGAGCTGTATGAGTCCCCAATAAAATGATTTTTAAAAAAGAAACTAGAGATTAATATCTAAATGGGGCTCTATATAGATAGAAAATTTTCTTTGCAGATAGTTTTTTTATGATTCTTGGAAAATATTAATAAGTATCCACAATGTTCACATTTCTCT